TTTTAACACAGCTAAGGAAAGCCATTTTAAATATCTTATTAATAAATATAAATTTTATCTTTGCCTTATAACCAAGAGTTAGGTATGACCTAGTGAATAGGTGATTTTATTTCAAGAAAGAAGATAATTATGTAGTTTGAGTTTTCTGAGGATTGCACAGATATAGGTACCTTTTCTTTCCTGATACAGTATACCTTCCTTGTGTCTCTAGTGCATTGATGGGCTGGCTGCCAGTCAGCTGTTGGCATAACTGCAAAACTGCTCCACAGTAAATTATACCATGCAGGATGTGTAACCAATTTTCAACACATGCCATATTTTCAGGTTCATGAGCGCTAGGTGAAAACCACATGTGTAGAAATCCATAGTAGAATACTTACCTCTAAGAAGAGTATTTTTTTGTACAAATTAATCCTAAATGTTTTTATTGTTAACAGAGATGCAGTTCATTCTAGCTGTGTTAACTCCATCTACTTTCTTCCAAAACCCCGTACTGGATACGAATTTTTTAGACATAGCTTAAAGTTTTATTTCTTACGTTACAAATAAGTTTGCATTTATATGTTTGTGCAGGACAAATGCTTATTACATGTTTTATTTACATTAAGAAAACTTGAAAGAAACAATTGCTACTTTTAACATGCCTAGTGTGGTGGTAATACTTAAGCACAGGTGTTCTGGAGCCAGAAGCTGGGTTTATGTCCAGGTTCCACTACTTAGGAGCTATTGCCCTTGAGCAAATTCCTGAAATACTCCGAACTTCAATTCTAAAGCAAAGATAATAATAGTATTTATAACACATGGCTGTTGGGGAGATAAAATGAGATACTACATGTAAAATGTTTAGCACAGTGTCTGTTACATAATGAGGGTACATTAAATTTTAGTAGCAAAAAAAAGAGGAATACTCCAAGTCCTTATATCATGAAGACAGGGAAAAAGTAAAATAAAACAGTTTTCTTTAAGCCATTTCCTTTAGTTACTTAACTCAGTGAACTAGAGCCAGGAAGCCTGTATTTGAGTCTCAATTTCTGCACTATGTGACTGAGATTATACCAAACCATACAAGATGAATATAAGGAAATTATCTAATTAATTTGGTCATTTTGGGTAAACTGGCAAGGAAAAGTATGTAAAGGTCTATATACTTTCCTACAAATGAGAAAGAATATACCTTTAGGGACTTCACTGATCAAGATATATGAAAATTTAAAGCAGTGTGAAGTCATTAAAATTAAGTGATTTGTTATATTAATTTAGGTCCTTAGTAGTAAGAGTTAATATTATAATTTGTTATACTATATAAAGTGACACTACTTTTCACTTTTTACCCAAAATTGATAACTTTTCTTAAAATCTTTTAAGCTACCAATTACTAAGAAATGTAAAAATCTCTATGTAATCCTCCCAACATGTAATGGAATATTGACATGTGAAATAGCTTTGTTCTCTGTACTTCTAAAACAAATATAGTCACTCACAACACCTATTCCCAGTGTCAGTCATATAATCACTGATTTAAAGTGTGAAATTTGGATGTAAGTCATAATTTATCATCTACTGAGACTCAGCTTTCCCCCTTATTCTCCCCCTCTTACTTTATCTCAAACTCTCCTCATTTCCTGTTCTCCCTCTTTCTTTGATTCTAACTTTTGGTAAGAATACTGCTTACTATACAAGTTTCAAATGAAGGACAAGTAAGTTTGGGTTTTCTATATATATCTGAGTGCCAGCCTTGCAAGCAGAAAATGGAGTTTATTATCATATTAAGAAAGAAAATACTTCTCATTAGCATATAAAAACAATAAGCAAAACATGTACTGAAAGCTTGAAGAAGTAACGGTCCCAACTTCTCAGGAGGCTGAGGCAAGAGGATCTCATGAGACAGAGTCTGAGGTCTACCTGGACACCGTAGCAAGACCTTTCTCTAAAAAAATAAATGAAAAGAAAGGAAATAACACTTGAATTGAGTCTTGTAGGGTAAGTAAAACTTGGCATGACAGGATACTTTTAGAAGGAATCTGAAGAATTGGATTGAAAAATTCTGATAAGTTTTGATATAACAAGAAACCCAAGAAGAACTAAAAGTCTGCAGAGTGGAAAATGGTGTGGAGTGAGCAGATTTATCACTGAAGAGAAAAATAAGTAAGTGATAGTATCAAGTAAGAGGATGGTTCCCAAGCTCACCCTCAGTTTTGAGATCAATTTCAAATTTGGAAGCCCCAAGACCACCCTCAATTTTGTAACACTTGTAGGTTCACAGAACTCACTGACTTTTGCTATAATCACAGTGATAGTTTATTATAACAAAAGGTACAGATTAAAATTAGTTCAAGGAAGCTGGCTTAGTAGCTCACACTTGTAATCTGTGCTACTCAGAAAGTAAAAGCAGGAAATCTTAAGTTTGAGGCCAGGCTAGGAAAAGTTAATAAGACCCTAACTCAAAAAACAAAATATAAACAAAAGGACTGGAGATGTGACTCAAATGGTAGAGTGCTTGTCTAGCATGCGAGGTCCTGGGGTTCAATCCCCAGTCCAGAAAAAAAAGTAGTTCAAGTAATGAATAATGGTTTAGAGCATCCTAAGCACCATGAGTTTAAAATGAGTTGAGTGGGTTTAAGAAATAAGAAAAGGCTCATTTGGAGCAAAGGTGAGATAAAATGACAGGTGAGATGAGACATGAGATGTAAAGCTATTGGAGGATTTTGATCAGGGGAGTAGCATATCAGATTTACATTACAAACAGATTATTTTGGCTGCTTGTGTGGTTGTGGTGCTCTTCATTAAAACACTGAAATAAGAAAAACAAGGTTTATACAAAATATATTGAGTTAGCAATGCTTTAGGGACATCTAATCTCTACTAGATAAATTTAATAGGAAATTGGATATGCAAACCCAGAAGAGAAATTTGTGAGTCAGAATATGTGGTTGTTGAAGCTATGATTTGGATGAAGTCATTAGGCCTGGTGTTTATGGTAAAAAGAATAAGGCGTTGTCTTGGTGACACCACTGTTTATTGTAATCTTTAGAAGCAAAAAGAGGAAGGAATTACAGTCAGTTCTGCTGTTAGGCGATGTGTATTAGGTCAAGAGATTGGTTCTTAGAGATAGCCTGTGCTCAAATTATGCCTCTGCAATTCCTAGTTAGGTGACCTTGGGCAAATAATTTAACTCCATGACTTACATTTTACAGCTGTCCGATGGAGACAACAATAGCACTTACTTATAGGCCTATTGTGAGAAATGTATGGCAATACTGTGATAGTTCTGAGAACAGTGGTTGGTACAGAGAAATGAAGTGATAAATGCCAACATTATTGGTACTTTGTAAAAATGTAAAGCACTTAATGTAGTGGCTGGTTGATAATATTCTTTTAAAAAATATTCTTTAGTTGTATAGAAGGTATTTATTGTGACATTTCTGCATATTCTTACATTGTACATTGGTTAGGTTCACCTCCACCATCTCTCTCCCTCATTCCCCTCCCCGCTGCTTCAAACAATTACTAAAGGTTTCATTGTTCTGTTTCAAATAAGTATATAAAGTTCATAGCCGTATTCAACTCTCCTTTATCCCCTCCGCCCCCTCTCCCTACCTCCTCATAAGACCTGTTTTACAATCCTGTCCTTCATTTTTAATTCCATATTCATTGTTCAAAGGGGTTTCACAGTGGGATCTCGAGATTACTATACTATTCTTGGGTCAAATTTACCCCCTTTATTATTCTCTCTTACCCTTTCCCTCCTACCCACAATTATTCAACAGTTTTCAGTATGTCTTGTTATGTCATCTACCTACAATCAAATATTCTTTAAATGGTAACTGATTTTCTAAGTGAGTTAAACTGGATTTGATTTTGTGGTAGGCCCACTCATGAAATAAGTAACTTACTGCAGACAACTTATTTATTTATTGTTATATCTAAATTAAACGCTGGTCCCAGCAAAAAAAGCAAGATTCTATCTGAAAAATAACCTAAAACAAAAAGGGCTCAAGTGGTAGAACACTTGCTTAGTAAGTGTGGGGCCTCTGAGTTCAAACCCCAGTACCACTAAAACAAACAAACAAAATCTAAATTTAACTCCAAATAGTAATTTTGTGATTTCTGGGGCCAGACCTGAGTTTAATGTTAAAAAGCTTGTCCTATGGGTGGGAATTTCTCCTCCTTCCCTTCCTCTTCTCCTCAGCTCCTCTCATATGTGCCTTCTACTCTTACGAGTTCTCTCTTCTCTCAACATCTGTTCAAAACATTTGTTAAGTCTACTCACACTCAGGTATCTAAGCTTAAAACGAGAGTGACAGTTCAATTTCACGTGAGCCATGAATTCTAGTGACTCTGTAGAGAGCATCCCCACTATGGGTTTCTATGGAGGAAAAGTAATGCTGCCATGATTCATTAATGAGGTTTGCAAAAGGATATGTGTGTATGAGAAATACAATGACTGTGAGGCAGTGTGGACTTTGAAGTCAGACTGATGGGGCTCGTGTCCAGCTCTACCATTTATCTGCTTTGGGATCTTGATCAAATTATTTAATCTCTCTATTCTTCAGCTTCTTCATCTGTGAAATGGGCATAGATTTTACTATAAACATGAAAGCATGAGATACTGTCCTGTTTCTGTTCCTGTATATCATACAAAAACCAATGTAAATAAAATAATCTAAAAGCTTCATTTTCAGAAAATAATCTGCTTCATTTGCAGAATATAATCTGCAAACCTCCAAAATATGCAGAGAAAAACATGTCACATAAGCTCAATAGTAAGATTTCAAAAAGTCCCAGCAAAATCAAACTTCTGAAGGTGAGGAGCAGACTTTGAAGCACTCAGCATTAGCCCTTGTATAAAAGAAGTGATATAGGATCTGAGAAACTCACCAGAGAAAGTACAATAAAGAAACACAGCACAGATAGTTACGAAATGGCCAAGTAGGACAAGATTTCATAAAATGTCCCAATCCACATTCTGAGCTGAAGGATTCATTCTGAAGCATGTACCAATGGGCGTGAACACCGAAGAAGGAGAACGAGAGGTTGCTGGCAAAGCTAGCTGGAGCAGTTGTCCTGGACTAGGTACGGTTCAGAGAAAGGGCGGGGCTGTGTCATTTTAGAAGAGTCATTTAAAAAGGAAACTCTGGTAGCACTGAAGCAGTTTTGAGATTTGGAAGGCATGGCCCTCTCCTCACAGCATCCTTCTATAAATTGCCTGGCTAGGAAACAGTGAGTAATTAAAAAAAAGTTGATACAGCATAAGTAGAAAGATACAATGAGAAAAATGTAAGGGAAAGCAGCAAAAATGAGAATGTACACAAAAACTATTGCTAATAAACGGATAAAGACTCTAACCAAATATTTTGAAAAATAAAATATATAAAGGAATATGATAAAGCAGTAACATAAGGAATCAAGGGACAGAAAGTGATAGCAAGATGTTACAAAGGATAAGGAATTGTAAGCTGTAAGAGCTCAGCAGTCATAGAAAAAAACTTATAATTTGAGATAAATTGGAAGTAACATAAAGAAAAATTAATATCATAGGAAACAATATAAATAGAAAGAAAACATGGAACTAAAGAAAAAGAATTACAGAGAAATGATGCATGTAGAAGATAGTGTGATTCTGCATACATGTAATAGGAATTTTTGAAGAAGAAAATGAATAGAAATAGAATAAAATTTCAAAGGTACAACTTAAGAAAACTGCTGAAGTTTAAAAAGTCTTGAGTTGTATACAATGAATGGACGTAATCTCCCCTGGAAACATTTGTACAAAAGGAGTCATATTCTTATACGGTCACTGCATTTCAGAGATAAAGAACAACTCTTTTGGGAATGAGTCACCTAAAGGAGAAAAAAAATTAGCTGACTTCAGAGTTCTCTACTATAGTATCCAACACCTGAGGATGGTGGAACAATATCCATAAGATATTCTAAGGAAAGAAAGTATCAGCAAAGAATTTTATTATAAATTTTTATTTTTATAAGGATACAACAAGCAATTCTGAAAAGTCCAGTTCTTAGGAAATGTTCCCTTGAACACTTCTTGAGGAAACTAATAGAGAATAAACCTCAGAAAAAGAGAAGTGACTGAGGAAAGCACTGCAAAAGACTGGATCTATTTATCAGAAAAAAATGGAGAGCAGAGCAAAATTTAATACCATATATGCTTACAATGTAGGAATGGTACAACCACCAAAAAAAAATAGGTGAAAGAAAAGGAAAAAAATGATGGGGAATAGATTAATTTTACTGATTGCTTCATCTGTTGAAGCTAAGAATTAAATAATATTATCCAAAGTTGGTAAGTCAAATAAAAGAAGTATAAAGATATTTAGCCAGGTGCCAGCCACTTGGGAGGCTGACATTAGGAGCACCATGGTTCAAGGCCAGCCTGGGCAAGAAGTTCATGAGAACCCATTTGAGCCAGTCGCTGGGCTTGGTGGTAAGCACCTGTCATTCCAGCCACAGGTGGAAGTGTAAAATAGGAAGATCTCCACCCAGGCCAGCCCGGGGAAAAAAGCAAGAGCCTGTCTCAAAATAAACAGAGCAAAAAGGACTAGTGGCACGGCTGAAGTGGTAGAGTACCTGCCTAGCAAGAAGTATAAAAATATTTAACAACACAGTAAACACTAACAAAAATACTTATTGACTAAAATTAGATGGTATAGTATGAAAAGATAAAAGCGGAGAGAAACAAAACATAGTTTAAAGAAGGAAATAACATATATTAAAGAAATGACTTAAGGGCATTATGTACGTTTTTAATTTTAAAGGTAACCCTTAGAATAAAAATATAAACCATTCTAAATCTCAAAAGAACTCTATACAAAAACAAAGGAAACAAACCTCATAATGAAGGACTTTAAAAAATAAAAGTGGTAAAACATAAAATAGTACAATGAATAGATTAAACAAATCATAATAATGTAAGTAGATTTAATTTAAATATTTAGAAAAAAGTTTCTAAATTGGATTACAAAACATATCCCACCCCTTCCTCTTTAGCTAATATGTTTCAAAGTAGAGGAAAACAAAAACATGTGCAAAAGTATGACAGACAAGTGGACATAAAGAGTGTAGAGAATGGAAACTAGTCTTGCTACCAGGTAAGAGAATGCCAAAAATGTAATAAACTAGACACAGGAGATTTTGTTCTAATTCAAAAAGGTACACTATCCTTCAAATATATCAATTTTATGATGATCTACATATTAAAATCATTACGTCAATATTTATAAAGCAGAGACTTAGTGGTAAGTGACTTTCTTTACTTCTCAGCCTACGATAGATTCATCGAATAAAACTAAACAGATAAAGAGGATATAAGTAACAATGAAGTATAATTAACCAGTGTGTATTATATTTCTCTCATTAAAAACCTTTGCAAACGCTTATGAAACATTGAAATTAACCAGTTATTAGGTTAATTAAGTTTCAAAAATACAAAGTGCTATAAGTTTTAAAAATACAAAGTGCAAATGAGACACATTATCCGATAGCAATGCTATTGAGTTAGATAAGAACAAAACCAGAAAACAAGACAATAAAACCCTTGTTACTAGAAATTTATAACTTTTAAAAGTTAAAGGGAACCCACAAATAAAAATAGTATTCAGAAAACAACAGAAATGAAAATGTCATGTATTGAAATCTATGGGATACCATTAAAGCAATAATTAAAGATTAAATACCTTTATCAAGGAAGAAAGGAAAAACAAAGCATTAAGTAACTCAACTTCAGTTATTATACAAAAGAAATAAACCAAAAGAAAATAGGAAAAGATCAGGAAGATACACACTGATGCTAATTGATTATATAAAACACAGGAAAAAAATAAATCCAAAGGCTATAGTTCTGAAATGACCAAAAGTGACACTGTCTTAAAAATAGAGCAATATATCAAAATTAGAAAAAAAAAACCCATAGAAATAGAACAAAGATAATTATAAAAGAATATTACACGAAGATTTCTGAGTAATACACTTGAAATCCAAGAGGGAATTTATTATTTCTTAGAAAAAATACAAATTTCTAAATTTGACTCAAGATGCAGTCAAAGAGAAATAGTCATTGGTGCTCATAATGTACCTGCCATTCTGTGGGAAAGAAGCATGCAATTGCCCTTCTAAAAGTAGGTTAGTTAGCTGTCACACAGAAAAAGTTAGGAAGGTGAATGATGATCTGAAAGCCCACATGATAAAAGTGGTTTACAGACGAGTTCCATATAACTTTTGAGAAAAGAGATAATCCCGAAATCATTTAAATTTCATATGCCATAAAAATAATAAAATTTTAATATTATCATCTGATAGAAGTAGGACAATAAGAGAAAATGTAGTCTAACTCAGATTGAAGCAGTGATTCTATATAAGTTATTAGTCAAGAATCTAACAAGTTATCAAAAGAATAACTTAAAACTGACACATAGATTTTATTTTAGGAATGCAATCAGGATTTTTTTAAGTAATTAATGTCCAAAGAGATTTGATTTTTAAAAATAGATTGTCATACGAATGGATTAAGAAAATGTGGTATCTATACACAATGGAATTTTATGCAGCCATGAAGAAGAACGAAATGTTATCATTCGCTGGTAAATGGATGGAATTGGAGAACATCATTCTGAGTGAGGTTAGTCTGGCCCAAAAGACCAAAAATCATATGTTCTCCCTCATATGTGGACATTAGATCAAGGGCAAACACAACAAGGGGATTGGACTTTGAGCACACGATAAAAGCGAGAGCACACAAGGGAGGGGTGAGGATAGGTAAGACACCTAAAAAACTAGCTAGCATTTGTTGCCCTTAACGCAGAGAAACTAAAGCAGATACCTTAAAAGCAACTAAGGCCAATAGGAGAAGGGGACCAGGAACTAGAGAAAAGGTGAAATCAAAAAGAATTAACCTAGAAGGTAACACACACGCACAGGAAATTAATGTGAGTCAACTCCCTGTTTGGCTATCCTTATCTCAACCAGCAAAAACCCTTGTTCCTTCCTATTATTGCTTATACTCTCTCTTCAACAAAATTAGAGACAAGGGCAAAATAGTTTCTGCTGGGTATTGAGGGGGTGGGGAGGAGAGGGAGGAGGTGGTGTGGGTGGTAAGGGAGGGGGTGGGGGGCAGGAGGGAGAAATGACCCAAGCCTTGTATGCACATATGAATAATAAAACAATAAAAATAAAAAAATAAAATAGATTGTCATAAATACTCCAATAAAATTGAATTATACAAAACATACACATATAAATAGAATGCGTATTTGTGCTTTCAATATTTCTTTATAAAGTTTTCAATAATACTTTTCCTAACATTTCCTTTTAATAGAATCAGTAATTTGAGGCTATCATAGATGGAGGAGTTCTTGCAAGGGATGGCTTTCTTGGGGCAAAGAGCAGACCTTGATGTCACAAGTGTGACTCCTTTTGTGTAACAGCACCTTATTTGGATCACAGAAAAATAACTCATATGTTTTATGATTTTATAAGTTTATGACTTTAAGCATTCTAATTTTCAAAGAAACAGTGTTTCTTCCATAGCATTCTCAGATATACATACCTTAGAGTCAGGTTATATTTGGCTAGGATACTTGAAGTAACAAACTAACATGGCATAAGTTTCTGGAGGGTGAATTTCGTTGAAGATCAGGGATAAGTACAATTGACTAAGGCAGCTGGTCAGTAATTTATTTTGTATACTAAAATAAACAGTCACATTGTGGATTATAATTAAAAATTTGCATGAATTATAGTAATAAGACATTAGAAATCAAAGATTTTTGTGATAATATGAGGCTTTCTTAAAATATGCCACCCAAGTCCCTGGAGGTAATTAAATTCTACACAGATGTTAAGAATATCTTGCAGAAAAATGTGTGACTTAACTATTATACAATTCCTTGGATATAAACATTCATATCCTTCATAATTATTATAAAATTACAACTATTTCATTAAGAAAATGATGGTTCTAACACCAAAATAAAATTCTTGAGTGTCTTGTGAAGATCTCTATGATGAAACATTTCAATTATATTGCTACATTACATATGAATATATTGAGTAATTATTTCATTATTTTACATGGTTGTCAGACTTGGAACTTAGGTTGTTTTTGTAATGAACATAAATTATCAAATAGCTACTGATTTTCTACAAAAGGAAAATTAAGATAATGCCAAATATTCCTGGTTGATATTAAAAACTTTTATTTTTCTTCACACATCCCAATTATTTAATATTTCTAGCTGGCAATACACACACATACTTGCACACACCCAGAGAGATGAAAAATTTATAGCCCAAAGAATAATAAAGCTCATACAGTTGATTAAACCATTCTATATTTTGAAGAAAAGATTCAACATTCTTTGCAAATAGCATTTTCAATGACTCTAAAGGTAAATATGAAATCTGATCAGGTTCTGGTGGGACAAACTTCCATTCAAAAAGTCTAGAACAATTTACACAATAGGTACTATACAAATCCAATATTGAATTAGACAGAACCTGTCTTCTGTGAGTTTGTAACTGAATAAGGGAGATATGCAGTATACTACTGCAATAATATAATGAAAATCAAGTTTTAAAGCCCCATATTACATAAACTTATTTTATATAAAGTGCATAGTATCTGTGGACAAGGAGGAGAAGTGGAGGTCCAGCTCCCAGAAGCCATGTGGAGGGATGGACATGGTTACAACCATCAGGAGTGTCTCCTCAATTCCCCATCAGAAGTACTTCATACATTAGGCAGGACATGAGCACTCTTGCTGGGAGCCTTGAGGAAGTGTGGGGAGGTGGTGCCTGCTGCCTAGCCTCTGTCCCTGCAGATCAGCTACTGGACTCATGGTGGCTGCCCTCCACCAGGATGGATCCTTCAGAAGGGATGGATTAAAAGACCTGATGGTAAAGTGCAAAAAAAAAAAATCTATTACATAAAAAATATTGAAAAATAGTCCACAAACTGGATAATAATTGCTTCAGAGGACTAGAAAAATGGGAGAGAAACTTGAACAGAAAGTATGCTGATTGCTAACAAAATGAATTTAAATTCTCTTGTCCAGGAATTATCCAAGGATTTTGGTAACCAAAGTATTTTAAATGTAGTACACAGTTAAGGTATTAGGCATAGAAAGAGTTTCTGTGTGACTTGTGAATTCCCAGTAGGTTATAAAGGAAAACAACTTAAAAATTAGATTTTAGGGGGTTGTATAAACTTAATTTATAAAATGGAATCCAAATTATAAATTATTTTTGTAAGTAGGATCCCAGTTTCTCTTTAACATAGATGTTATTTTTTAAGTTGTAAGTTAAAGAAGTAAATAGCATCTGGAAATCATTGAACATATACATTGGAGTAACAAGAGTCCTAGTCAAATGGAAAAAAATGAGAGAAACTTTTTTTAAATTAAATTTTGGGTTACAATATATTGATGTATATGTCTGTGTGTATGCACACATATTCAAACTACTGAGTGTAACATCTTTCTCTTCCTCTCCATATGTCTTATTATCTAGACAATAGTTGTCATGGAGATGACTTATTTCATAAATTACTGATGATACAAGGAAGGTTTTCTTATACTCAAACATTTATTTGAGCACATGAATGCATAAGAATAAGAGTCTCTCTCTCTTTTTTTTTTCCTCTTTCTCTTTTTAATTTCCAGGCATAGATATTCTTCATCAGCTAGGCCTTGGAGGCAAAGATGTAAGAGATTCATCATCAGTGACCTCTCTACCTTCGCCATCTACACCATTACCTCAGGGGGTCCACTTAACAGAATCAGGTGTCATTTTAAAAAATGATGCATATATTGAGTCACCTCTCATGAACATTTTACCAGCCAATTTAGGACAGCCATTTACAGTATTAATTGGTGTACGGTCACATAGAGTGAACAATGCATTTCTTTTCAGCATCAGAAATAAAAATAGGCTGCAATTAGGAGTACAATTACTACCCAAAAAATTAATAATCTATATTGGAGGAAAGCAGTCTGTATTTTTCGACTACAGTGTTCATGATGAGCGATGGCACTTACTTGCCATTACCATTAAAAACCAAGTTGTGTCAATGTTTGTTGAGTGTGGAAAGAAATATTTTAGCAAAGAGACTATTTTAGAAGTTCAGACCTTTGACTCTAAGAGTGTGTTTACTTTAGGAAGTATGAATAATAATTCTGTCCATTTCGAAGGAATAGTATGTCAGTTGGATATTATTCCTTCTGTAGAAGCATCTGCAGACTACTGCAGATATGTGAAACAGCGGTGTCAATATGCAGACAAATTCCAACCTGAAACAAGCCTTCCTCACACAACTACCACACCAACTAAAACAGCAGAACACTCTCTCTTGCCCAAAGGACTTAGTAAAAAAGTACAGTCAGAAGATATATTTACCGAAGGCAAAAGCATTCCAAATATAAAGGATGATTCTGCAACAGCACATAAAAGACAGGAACACCAGATATCAAGACCTCAGTCAACTTCTCTTTATTTGGGAAATGTTTCCGCTTTGGATCTCACAAATTATGGGATTCACGCCAAAGAAATCACTGCCGAGGAGCATACTCAAACAAATGTAAGCCTGTCAATGAGCCATCGTCGCCTCAGTGAAGCAAGAATGAATACTGAGGAGAAATTTACTTTTCTCTTAAATGTTACACAAGATGATAAAGTAACCGGTCTGTCACCGCTTACGAAGATGTCATCTATTCTTTCACGTACAAGTCATGATACAATTGCTACTCTCAAGAAGGCTATCACAGCAAATCTACATACCAACGAACTCACAGAAATGGAACAGATTCTAAACACAACCTTGTATAGAGTGACAGATGAGCCATCTATGGATAACCACCTTGATCTCAGGAAGGAAGGTGAATTTTATCCTGATTCTACTTATCCCATCGAAAATAGCTATGAAACTGAGCTCTATGATTATTATTATTATGAGGATCTTAATACAATGCTCGAAATGGAGTATCTGAGAGGGCCAAAAGGGGACACTGGACCTCCCGTAAGTTGTTTTTTTCTTTTTTAAAATATGTCTTTATGCACTAACTTACTACAGATTTCAGAATCCTGTAGACTGTGCGATATAGGAAATACCAGAACTGTCACAGAAGCATGCCTGGTGCCACAAGTAACATGAGTGATGTTATGGTTGTGTCAACATATCTGCCAGAATGCAACCCTGGATCAAATAGTGTTCATTTTTGCCTGATTGCCAGGCCAAAAAGGTTATTCAATTCTGGGTAAAATGGTGGGTAAGCTATATGTTTTTCTTATTCAGTTAAAACCCAACCAGGAATTTAATTGGAAAATGCAGATCAGCATTCTTTATAAAAAACAAAACCAAAAATATAGGCTTAATGCACAGTCATGTCAAAAGGATATATGAAAGTTATGGTAGACTAAGGAAAAAAACCGAAATATACCAATTAAATATTTCTTCAGCAAAATAACATCAAGTAGACTTACCATAGGTTACTGTATCTAAAATAAAATTTATTTTAGATACAGGTTATTGTGTAGTCAAACATCAACTGGGAAAAAAGCCCCTAACATTATCATTATAAACACAATCTTTTCATTTCCACCATGAGTATGTCTTGATATGGTCAATTTACACATAGGAACTAATAAAAGCTCCACCTACCTGTAACACTAAAATGACCAGTCAGGACTGGCACAGTAGCTCACACCTGTAAATCCTAGTTACATGGGAGGCAGAGATGGTTAGGATCATGGTTAGAGGTCAGCCCAGGCAAAAAGTTAGCAAGACCTCCCCTCCACAAACCAGGCATGGTAGCCCACACCTGTAACCCCAGCTATTTGGGAGGAATAAGTCCAAGGCCAGCCCCGGGCAAAAAGTGTGAGACCGTATCAGAAAAATAATTAAACCAAAAAAAGACTGAAGGTATGGTTCAAGTGGTAGCATGGGTGCTTAAGGGAGCATCAGACCCTGACTGCAAACCCCGGTACTGCACACAAATATACACACACATATCCAGTCAACCTGATTTTTAAAAAATGTCAGCCTTTTTAATGAGAAAAAAGCCAAGCCACTTATTTAATAACATACACACAAAAGAGTGAATTTTTCTCTCTGAATTTCTTTTGTAGGTGCAATTAGAAAACATTTGAAAATTTCTAAAACCATTTATAAGTCATTTAAAGTCATTTAAAATCATGATGTTGGAAATACTGGTTTTTGTCTTTCATTTTTTTTTATCTTAAGTAACTTGCTCTATGTCTTTAGAAATTATTTTTTTTCAAAATAGCAAGCATACTAAAGATATCTTAAAGTATTTATTTAATGAACATAAAATTTACATCATTGATTTAGTTCCAGAAACTACAGAATGGGATAAGGTGATGATATTCCCTTGGCTTTTTTCCTGTGTCGTTATTACTGAAAGCAATTTGACAGGTAATGAGAAACTCTTATTTAGAGTGGATAGGTAAAATAAAATCTGAAAAATATACTACTATAGAGAAATAAACTGTTTTCAGCTATTAAAATTATCAACATATTGGTAATATTCAGTCACTGGGCAGGTCATATTAAATAGAGTTATGAGAGTTATTTATTTTCTTCAGAACAAGTATGGTGAAAATGAACATTAATCACTTCTGTATATTCCAAAATAGTCAGTTTTGGTAGTAATAATATATTCAACAGAAACTTTTTTTCTTCTGTGCTCAAGGCAGGAACACTAGGTATATATGACATAATCATTGTTCAGAAGGAACTTATATTTCAATTAGGGAGATAAGGAAGTACGTTTGCCACTATATCTTGTGGTAAAGTAAGAAAAGTGCTGCTGAGAGATGTAAAACTAGGTAGATGGGGTAGAAATGTTCAAAGGTAAAGGAAGAAATATTTTTGAGGGAATCTCTATGAAGGATCACTTAAGCTGAGCTGTTCAGGATAGGCTCTTATGGACAAAGTTAGTTAAGACTGAGGTTTAAAGAATGGGTCAGATTTTGGGTTCAGCTACTCAGGAGGTGGAGATCAGGAGGATCACAGTTTCTGTCTGAGCCAGAAAGTTACTAAGACCCCATCTCAACCAATAAGATGATTGTGGTGGCATGCACCTGTCATCCCAGATATGTGGGAGGCATAAATAAGATCACTCCCTTTCTGAAAAATAACTAGAGTAAAAAGGTTTTGGAGGTGTGGCTTAAGTGGTAGAATGCCTGACTAACAAGCCCAAGGCCCTGAGTCCAAACCCCAGTACCACTGGGGAAAAAAAAGTATGAATAAGATTTTAACAGGTGATAGGAGCAAGTATGTATTTTTATAGAGAAAAAAGAGCAGCATAGCTATCACTTGCTGACCTCCTTGTGGAAGACACTCATCATGCCCTTTATGTACGTTATCTTAAAAGAATTTTGTAAGGTTATAGTATTATTCCTTAGACTGAAGTCTAGAGGAGTTCGTTTTCTCACCCACAACATTGCTGGTAAATTTTAACATAAATTTTGCTGCCTTGAAAGCCTAAGCTCTTATATTAGGTTAAATGATGTTAGGTGAATAAAGACACAGCAAGATAGAATTATAGAGAGGCTTAACTGTCTAAGTGATAGCTCTAACATTATCTTGTTCTTGATGGGGAATTTAGTAGGTATCTAAGCAGGAGCATTAATTTAAAAAAGTCAATCTGGCAGCAGTGCCAGGAACAGACAGGAAGTTCCTGTTGCCATCTTGGTGTTAGATTTAGGACATTATTTAGGTTAACAGAAGTGACAATGCATAGGAAAGGCAGTATTCAAGAACTATTTTGAAGGAAATTAATTAGCTAGACAATTAATTGAATGTAGGGACAATCCAAAAGAAGAGAATGAAAGATGGTTATCATAATTTAAGGCTTCAAATTGAGAGACTACCATTACTAAAAATAATAAGAGAACAAGTCAATGCTAGCAGGAGAAAAACTAAAGCATTTAAGAAAACTGTTGATAATACAGTCTTTTGAAAAAGTTGAGGAAGCTGAAGTGAAAAATAGAGGTCACAGTGGGGAATATAAACTTGGGAGCCTTTGGATAATACCTTCAAAGGAAGGAGTGTGGCATAGGTTCAAAAGCCAAATCACATGGGAAAAATGTTTTTTGGTTGTTGAAGGAAAAAAGCACAGTAGTCAGAGATGGGAGAGAAAAGCAGTACACTTATCACAACAACCAAAGAAGAAAGTGTGAGAAGAAATAGATCAACATTACTAAAAACTACAGTTATCAGAGGGTGAGACCCATAGCGGGGAAAATACTACTCTTGGCTCTTCTGATGAGTCATTGCTAAACTTCTAGAATCCAACTGCAGCACAGGGTAGAACATTAAAGATAGATTTTTACAAAGCCAATAAGAGAATGAGGATAAATTTATGAGCTTGTAAGAAGCTTTTTAGTGCTTCCTGAAGCAGATGTTACTGTGGAAAGACAGAGACCAGGCCAGTTTTCCCCCATTTTTATATGACTTTTTTTTCCTGCCTGTATTCTCATGTGGTTCTTTCATTATCTCTTTTTTATTTATGATTTTACTTTTGTTTTTAGTTGACATATAATAACTGTACATATTTATGGGATAAAGTGTGAAAACTAAATACACATATATAACAATTAATAAGTCAAGATAATGAGCACTTTCATCTCCTTTGTATTTGGAGCCTTCAAACTCCTTTCTTCCAATTCTTCATAAAATATATTTTTGTGAGCTAGTCACCTTATTGTGATATAGAACATGAGAACTTATTTTTCCTATCTAATTGCATTTTGTTACCAAGCCTCCACTCACCTTCCTTCCTCTCCTTCCCAGCCACTAGAAAATAGCTTCTGCATGCAAGTGAGAATATGTGTTATTTTTAAGTGTCTGGCTTATTTCACTTAACATAATGTCCTCTGGTTCCATCCAAGTTATAGCAAATAATAGGATTTCATTCCTTTTATGTCTGAATAATATTTCCTTGTGTATATATACCATATTTTCTTTAACCAGTCATCAGCTGATGAACAGCTTGGTTGATTCCCTATCTTGGCTATTGGTAATGCTGCTGCAGTAAACGTGGGAGATAGGTATCTCTCCGATAGTCTGATTTTATATTCCTTGGATGTGTGTGCAGCAGCAGGACAGCTGGATCATATGGCAGATCTATTTTTAGCTTTTTGAGGAACCTCCATATTGTTCTCCACAGCTGCCATAATGTCTGAGTAAAACGCCATTGTGTATAAATCTCATATTTTCTTTATCCATTCATCTGTTTATTTGGCACCTCTGCTGATTCCATAATTTGGCTATTGTGATTAGTGCAACGATAAAATGGCTACACAGATATCTCTATAGTAAACTGACTTTGAGTCTTTTGAGTACATACTCTGAAATGATATGGCTTGACCATATGGAAGTTCCATTATTAATTTTTTTGAGGAGCCTCCATACCGATTTCCGTAGCAGTTGGACAAATTTACATTTCCACCAGCAGTGAATCGGAATTCCTCCCTCACTCATCCTTGCCAGCATTAGTTATTATTTGTTTACTTCATGATAACTTTTCTGAATAGGGTAAGGTGGATCTCACTGTAGTTTTGATTTGCATATCCACAATGACTAATGGATTTCATGTATTTACTAGACATTTGAGCTTCTTCATTTGTAGTGTCTGTTCAGTTCATTTGCTCATTTATTGATAGGATTATTTGTTCTTTGATAGTCAATATTGTTAGTTCTTTATATATTCTGGATACGAGTCCCTAAATGAATGAAAAACTGGCATAGATTTTCCTCCCCTCTGTAAGCTGTCTCTTCACTTTTACAGTTTTTTTTTTTTTTGCTGTGCAGAAACTTTTTAATTTGACACAATCCCATTGGATTTCTTGAGCTATTAGAGCTCTATCCAGAAAATCTGTCCCTATTTCTATATCTTGAAGTGTTTCCCTTATGTTTTCCTCTAGTAGTTTCAAAGTTTTAAGTCTTACATTACAGTCTTTGGCCCATTTTGAGTTGATCTTTATACAGGTTGA